AGATATAACTTTGTCAGAGTCTCATGCACCGGAATGTCTTTGGGATACCATGGCATACCATTCATCATTTTTGATAGTCTGTGAATCTGTTATCTGCAGGGAGCAGTAGAATATGGCTCTAACCATATCCATCATTGTCTGATCACTGTCAGGCTCTCTCAGCTTGGGAATATTCAATATTAGGTGCCATTCTGAATAAAGACAAACATTTTTAGGATTCAAGTCTCATCCTGTTTGCTTTCCCTGGTAGTATGGTATATTTGCCACAACACCCCATTAACAGTGGTAACACAGACTGACTGAGATAATTCCCTCTGAATCACCTTCATCTCTGAAAGACAGAATACTTGGGGGGAAAAATTCCAGGTTCATTTAAATGTTGATTCTGATCTGTAAATATAAGCTCCTTTTGACTAAATCAGTCAAATGGCTTTTTTTTTCTACATTAACATGCTGGAAAGTCCATATTTATTATCCCGATTCTTTTCACAGCTCAAATTTACCCTTAAAAAAAACCCAGACTTTTCAATTAACGTTTGGTTCACATTTTAAAATAAACGATGAATGGAATAAACACTGGAAATACAAATATAAGGTTATAAAAACAGGATTTCATTCATTCATTCTAGTTCTGTTTAAAACGTTAGCATCAGATCAACATTGTATTTGTTCAGAGAAAAAAAGAGCATTTCTCATTTCCTGTGTTCAGATGCTTCGTCACAGAGACAGCAAGACTCAAGGTCCCTGGTATGGTAGAGGAGTGATTCATTTGAAAATGAATGGAAAACCCTGAAGCGGGGATGTCATCTGGGCAAAAGACCTGTAACAAAGATTAGAAAGATAGGAGTGGGTGCCAAAGTGATTCACTCTGATTAAATCCTTCAAATCCAACTGTAATTTTACACAGACCCACCCTCCTCTCTACCTTTCTTTAACCACAGCATCACACCTGACCTTCCAAATAAAATAGTTTTATCCTGTGTCCAAGAGAGAAAAAGTATTCATAACAAAAAAGGATGAAGTAGATATATTGACATCTTTTTAATTAAGGCGTAGCTTTAGAAATGCATCTTTAAAAAATAATACTAACAAAATACTATTAAACTAAGGCGTTTATTATAGGATCTATGATGAACCCTAACCCTGATTAAAAACATATCATCAACTGTTTCATATCCTAGGGCAATTTTTAAGTAAGAATGTTGTTTAATTTCCCAGAAAACTAAAAAAATTGATAATGATCCGAACCATACAGCCAATACAAGACAGAAATAGTTCACTAGGTACTAAAAAACAGGGTTTTAATGGACATCTTAGTCCCCTCATTTCCAAAATCTTATAGAATACATGTTGACTTATGAGCAGAGAGACAGTTGTAAGAAAGGATGATGGACAAGATTATTTAGAGAGAAAATACACATTTGTACAGCTGTTTTTTTTCTAAAATATCCAATGTGAGATTATCCCACTCTAATAAAAGATTAATTAATCTCCTGCTTTTTAACAAATCTTTACTAAGTGTGCTTGTATATGAGGTCTGAACTACTTAAGGCTTTACTTTCAGTCGGCCTGAAGAATCCGAGCCGTAACAAAGCCTGTGACAAACTTACTCTGCAATTCCTTAGTTAAAAACACAAATGATTGACATGAACGCAGAGTCAACACTTGGGCACATTTGTCTGTCGGTGACAGCATGCAGCACTGAGGAAAGCTAACCGGTGTGTGTCAAGGAGCATCACTGGAGTAATGAAAGTCTTCTTTTCTTCTGCATTATTAAGAGGAACATAAGACGAACATTTATTTTAAAAGAGAAAATAAATACCGCTGTTCTGTAAAGATGCTGGAGGAGGAAGAGGAATCGGAGGAGAAAAATGTGAGTCATAAACATTTCAGCAGGACCACCCATGCTGTTAAATACATTTGTGACTGATGGATCAGTACTTTTAAACTGATGCTATCAACCCTGTTGGAGATCCTCCATTTGTTCCTGAGCTTCAAACTAAACACATAATGATAAAAAAAAAAAAGAAAATCTTTATGAAAGGATAGCAAATACTAAAAGCTTTAGAGAAAATCATACAAAGATTCCAACAATGAAATAAAATAACTGCCATTTGTATATGCAAGCGTTTTGTTGTGGTTTTGCTTCATTATGAGTTCAAATCAGTGACAGATACTACCAGAAATTTCTGCTGCACTCACACAGGCTGAGCTGAATAATCTAGGCATCCTAAACGTCTACAGTTACTTTTGACAAGAAAATAAAACCAGGTGGTAAATGAAAGAAATTAAATCCCCCAACCCCAGAAAGAAAGCCTGGTAAAATAACTGAAGATGTGAAAATTGTCTTGGAGGAAAAAATGAAATTACTATGTGACAAATGATGTAAGATAACCTTCATCCAGTTAACTCTGATCAGTGGTCAGCATAGCAGTAATACCAGGAATGAATCATCTGGCTTTAAGAGCACCAGGAGCAAACAGATTGGTATCTGTCTAAATTAGAAGTGAATAATACTCCCTCTTAATAAGGAGAAAAAAATAAAATAATATCCGTAGCTGTTGTATCATCAGTGCGCACTAGTTTTACATTAAAAAGAGGAAAATATCACTTAGAAAGAAGCTTTTCTTTTACCACAGCTTCAGGCTAAGCTATAGTCTGGTTTTTACTCACTATAAGGATGCAATTGTGTTGTTGACAACACAGGGTTATAAAAAAATACCTATAAAAAAGTTATTTATCCCTTAATATTCCACTGCAGAGAAATGTCACTAGTGAATGCATCTAGTGACTGAAGATGTTTTATCATTATCTCCCATTTATCTCCTCTTTCTTTAATCTTTAATTCTTTTTTTTTTTTTTTCCTTTCCTGTTCTACTTACATTGCAGTGTCCATATAATCGGTAATACTCCTTGCATGAATTATAATAAAGCTATTTATATGCATAAATCAAGCGGAACACTAGGAAGATAGCCGTACTGCTCCACTTGTTGAAAGCAAAAACTGTTTGGCTCTTTTTTGGCATCAAGACAATTGTTCTTATTGCCACATTGTCAGACAGGACACTGTAAAGAAAAAAAAACAACAAAAAAACAATGCATCTGGTATATGGTAGGAGGCCTATCTAACAATGCCTTACTGCCTCAGTTTTGTATTCCCAACCATGTAAAATATATGCGGTACTGGAATTATAGCAAAACAGGCTCTGCAATGTGAATATCCTTCTTTATTTTGTAATAAGAATGAATGTTAGGCACTATTGTATCATCAGTCCCTCACAAATATTTTTTTTCAGAAATGTGAATACTCTTTTTACCTTTTATCATTGGAAATGTTTTATTTCTTTATTTTAGCCACACAATGCTTATTTTAGCAGGGGATCATCTAAGCGTGACTATAACACCTTCTGTCTTCAGAGCCACACTCACTGTAGTGTGAGCAAAATCTGTAAAATCATTGCCAACTGTGCAATAATCTAAAGGTATGATAGAGCGTTGGGAAACTGTGCCATCTGGCGTTAAACTAATAAAACTACATGTCTGTTAACTGCTAGACCCATGCCAAAAGTTTTTCTTTTTTTGTATTGGTTTGCTATTATTTACAACTTTAATTAAGATCTATTTCAACGAACAAGAAATTTGGAAATATTGAAATCATAAATAGAAAAGGTAAAAAAAAGGTAAATCCAGAGTTCACTGGCTCACGAATCCTGCCAAAAAACATCTAGATTAACAATAACTTCTATTAATAAAACTTACAGAGCAATACAGGGGAGTAAAGATTAGATCCATTTTTTTTTTTATTTTTTCAAAAGCCTTACGCTCTACATTTATCAAAATGTCCATAATAAATAGTAAAAAAAGAGATCCTATCCTCTACTGCAGCTGATATACAAGCTGTACTGACAGAAACTTTCAGAGCTTGGTATGACTCAGTTAAACGACTAAAAGCTGTAGTAAAAACAAAACAATCAGTACAAGAGTTATTACATGACACTTCATCTCTTGATATTGCTTTCATTGTATTCCAACATTAATTGTATTTTAAGCATATTTCTTCACTTACATCATTGAGAGAACCATAACCAGGTATCAGATGTGCTGAGTCAAAAAATAAAATAAATATAAATCAGGATAAACCCCATTTTTAAAACATTCAGCAATAAAACCCTCACAGGTATTCCTTAGATCATAATGCACCTTTAAAAACAAAATAGAACTTACCTTTAAAAAAAAATCAGTGCTTTCATACATTATAATCTGTTTGAATTGTTATATCAATTATAAAGACAGAACTAAAAAGCAGAGATGCACCTATCAGGATTTCTATGCTAAGTTTGCAGAAGCTCAAAGCTGCACACATCATTTTCAGTACAATACAATTTATATTTTACTGTAAAAAAAAAAGCATTTAAAATGTGCCTTTTCACCTTTCTTGACATAAGTTGACATATCAGATACATCAGAGGCCACATCACACTGTATTAGATATTGCAGTGAAAACTGATTTTACAGCCTTAAAAAACATACTTTTAATGATTTGCACTGTTAATATAACAAAGAGAGCAGTTTTTTTTTAGGTGTCTATTCACTGTGTAGGTCATTTCCAAAAGACTGCCAACTTTTCCAAACCCAGCGTGCTGCAAAATATAGAAATGTACAACTTGGCTGTAATCCATTTAGCCTTCCTGTTATCTGCCTGAAGTCTTAAAGGTGTAGTGGAGAATGTTATTTTTCCAGGTGGATCATATAAGTGGTCTTCCTAATTGTCAATCATTCTGGTCATGTTTACATAAGGCTGTCCTATGTGCTCGTCCCCATTTTCACTAACCCACAATGAGTCTGACATAGTGGAATAACTGCAAATCTTTTGGAAAGAAAGCTTGTTTTAGTGACGCAAACTTTTAAACAGAGCGTGCAAAAGGAGAAATGGGCTTGTGCATGCTCTTCATAGGTGTTCCTTCTTGGGAGCGGGTACAGGGTTGTGCATGTGCATTTCGTTTTTTTAAATGGAGAGGGCGGGTCTTTTAAAAAAGTCGCAAAAATCCTCCAATTAACCTTTAATCTCTTGAAGCCTGAACGAAGCACAGACAGGTTCTTGTAAAAAATAACTTTCCTTCTTAATAGCTTCTGACTTTATTTCAGACATCCCAGTTACAGCTAAACCTGCTAACTCTAAGTCATCATCACTCAGTAAACCCATACTGTTACTGTGACTTGTTGACTCAGGGAAGAATAAGCTAAAATCTGATGAGTCCCACCTTCTGCAGATTTCTCTCTACTTAAGATGTATCTGCTGTTGCTATAATAGAAAAGCATTCCCAAAGTGACAGAAATATGTGCGTGCAGAGCTTACTGAAAGGCTGATGACCTTTAACCTGAAACAAAGCTTTTAATTTAAAAGCAGCTAAGCACATGCAATGGAAGCGTCAATCAAGGTAAATTAACCAAACCGCTTTGCTACACAGCACTACTTGAACCTGCCCACAATATTGATGCAAAAAACTTTGATTTATGCTTTTGTTTTGGCTAAATGGGTACTGGATCACAGAAAGCGAACTAGCAGCACTGGGAGCTATCCTTCAGTTTATCTGTTGTTAATTTAAACAATAGAAAAAAAGCAACTATATCCTAGAAAGCAACATTTTTTCTTCCCCATATATTTCCTTCCTATCTTAAATGTACAATAATTTATAAATAGAAGTGTCCCAAGCATGAGTAAAGCATTTATGCAGAGGTAAAAGGCCTGGAAAAGCTGAAGCAAAAATGGGCTAAATGATCCAAAGCACCGCCCCCCCCCTTAAGACTCCTTGTAGAAAACATTGATGAGAAACAGGGTCTGAAAAAACCTCAATGTTTGTTTAAAACTGATTTTTCTTTGTCGTTATTTGGACAGTTAAGTATGCAGACTCTTTGCTAGCCTTTGATTTCTTGTCTTGGAAAAAAAAAACCCAAGTAAAAATGTTTTTCAGGGAACGAGAGAAAGATTTGAGGTAAGATAATGAATATTCATTAATCATCCTCTTCAATTCAGTTCTGTCAAAAACAAACAAAAACATCTTCCTGATGAAATAGGCTGTTTTCACCACTGTCGATATGAATACTGGGTCGGTGCAGCACATTGGACAGTTCTGATCTCCTCAGACTCCACAGTCATCGGTTCTGTGCTGGAGTCTGCGAGTGAGGATAAGGGAGGTGGAGAGGGAGGCGACGGAAATGTGGAAGAGGAGCTGCCATACGTTCCGCATGCCAAATAGGTACAAGTTGCATAGGACGATCATGCTCAAAAGGAGGAAGGACTTCAGCTTCTTCTGAGACGAGTGGAACAGGTAAAGGTGGCACTGTGGAGTTGGTAAGAAGAAGACATGTTAAACAGCCTGTTGTGGCTGTTTGGTATGATAACCTGTTAACATGTGAGCTAATATTTACCTGAAGGGCACAGCAGATGAATGCGAGGAAAAATGCCACAACTTTCCAAATGCCTTCATAGTCGTCCTTTTGAAAGTAAGATTAGAAACAGTTGAATTAATTTTAGGCTTGGGTGAATGCTTTTCAAATAAAGAAACAAGTTTATAATAAAGATAAAGAGTCTAAGGGAAAAATACGAAAAGTATTTTATTCTGGCTTGAAGTTTGTATACACTCTTAAGCAGAACATTCTATGTTCTGGATGGACTGCTAGCAAAAGAAGTTTACTAATAAGAATAAAAATAGGGAATTAGGTGATCAAGTTTTCAAATGTATATATTTAGCCTAGGTATGTACTTTGGATATTTGGTAAAACATAACACTTTCGCAGCCATCTGCCATTTTTCTGCCTGGATGTTTGACCAATCTCCCTTTAGAATATAGAAAGATCCAGCTTTTACACACCATCCAGAAAAGGTAGCCTTGGTCAGGGCCGTTCCAGAGGCCTGATGTTCGTCTTTTCTATTCACTCCTAAACTGACTGTATCTATGTCTTAATCATCTAACTCACTGTGGTTCTGGGGCTGCAAGTCACTATGGACCTACCACAGTGGGTCTTGATAACTTTGGCTTAAACTGATAGAGAACCAACTATTGTTTTAACATATAAATACAATAATAAACGAAGAGTAGCTGCATGTCATATTCTCCCTTAATGTAATAATTTTCCTGTTTTTCCAAACAGAGACACTAAAACACTAAAAAGAAACACTAAAAGAACCAAAATTTATATTTTCTGGTCATTTTCATTTCCATAAGATTGGAAACATATGATTTCTCTTTTTTAAAATTTACCACAAATAAGAATATCCCAAAGAAAACAACTTTTATTCAGCTGAACTGAGTGCAAAAATGACTTTTTGGATTGTAAAGGTTGCAGACTCCTTATCTAAATGTTCGTTTTATGTGAAGTTAGAGTCTCTTGCTCCATGCTCTTAGTGAACAATGCCTGCACAAGTGGCAGTGCAACGGTCACCAGTAGGATGCTGCCACCTACATGTTTAACAGCTGATACAGCTTTGATTCCTTCAAACATACTTTCAGTCACATTTTTTCACATTGATCCTAAACTCACCTTAGTATTTGATACTAGTTTTCCAGCAGCTTTTAAATTATGATGGACTTAGGTCCATAAACCCTCAATAGTTCCACTGGTTTACTGTGGACAAGCTAAGCAGTTTTCTTTCGTTGTTCAGATGAGACTGTTGAAACCTAGACACAGCTAGGTGTACCAAAAGGAAAGTCTGCATAAATGTGCATCGAAACTGGTTTTAGGTTAAACAAAATGAATAAAATGAAAGGTCTGGTATAGTACTGTACCACAGGCATCCCAACCTCAGTCCTCAAGGCCCGCTGTCCTGCAGGTTTTAGAGGTTTCCCTGCTTCAGCACAGCTGATTATAATGACTGCAGTAGACCAAAAGCCTGTTAATCAGCTTTCAATTAAAATCAGCTGTGCTGGAGCAAGGAAACCTCTAAAACCTGCAGGACAGGGGGCCTTGAGGACCGAGGTTGGGGATGCCTGCTGTACCAGACCTCACATTTGCTAAAAATGTATGTAGTGTTCATTTCCTCAAAATCAACCAATTTTTTTTTTTTTTACCAAGAATAGTGGACATAAAGTAAGCTGGAAATATTCTAAGAAAGCAGTTTTTCTTTCATGAACATTTAGCCACATTGTAGTAATGTTATTATATGTATGTTTGGCCCTGGGTGGATAAAAGAGAAATGATGAAAAATTCAAACTTTCACACCCAGTTGTGGTTTTCAGAAAACATGAACGCATTACTTTATCTCATTACTCAGCTTTGTGAGAATAGCAACTCAGCTGCATCATGCCGAGCAAACTAAAAATGACATCCAGGATCCTGATGGCTGAGTTTAATATTCTGCCTTTCACGACTCTGTCATGCTCAGATCCTTGCCCTGGCCGTACCTGGAATGTGTTCTCTACGAGATGCACCCCACGGATCATGTTCAAAGATGCACACATGATGTTAAGGATGAGGGAAAGGATGCCTGGGACTGACACTGGTTCTAGCCTCTGATTTATACCTGCTGGAGTAAAAACAAATCAGCAATAGAAAATGTTGATCACACAAAACTAAGTCAAATTTAAACCAACATAACATCTGTAATACTGAGGATTAGAAGCCTAATTACTGAGGCTGATCCAGCATTGCCTTACCAGATGCAGCACTTTGTTCGATGTGCCCATTTGCTGTCCCGTTGACCAGCTCCACTTCATTCAGATTAATCACTTCAGGTGGACGGATCCTCAGGTCTTCCTGGACCTCTGCCAGGGTCACTTCTAGTGCAGGACCACCACTCTGGTTGTACTGCTGCTTCAGTTTTTGAATAGTGCTGTCTGTAAAGCATAAGCAACATATTTACATGTGGATTAATAGATTAAAAGGAATATGCACTTCAAACAACATAACCACAGCATTAATTTAGTTGGAAATCTTCAGCAAAATAATGCCGCTTTTTGTTTCCTCACCAAATTCCAAAAAAGGATATGGCCTGGCTGCCAGGGAAATGACTGTGCTGTTGAAGCATGCTGTGAACTCCCAACGTAGATCTTCCAGGAAGCAGAAGGCTTTAGCAATGGGGAGGCTGCTGTGGCACACGCTCATGTAGGAAACGCCCTCTGAGGAGACGAAGCTGAACAGGTGAGAGGAGACAAGGTGTTCCGTAAACAAACAGCCTAGCACAGCATGCCAAGGATGACCTTGTTGAATCTATCAGAAAATGAAGAAATAGCAACCTCATCCCCAATTTTACAGAGACAGAAAAAAGCCTACACACCCTGTTAAAATGTCTGGCATTCATAATGTAAAGAAGGGAAACAATGATAAATGTTGAACCACCTTTTGATCCAATTTCAGCTTTCAGTTCTCTTTTAGGCAAACCAACTGAGACGTCTCTGTTTAACCTGAAATGAAGTTATTCCTGGTAGATTCTCATTGTTTTTACTCATTTTTAATCTCTGATTCAAAGCCTGCATTTGAAGAATACTTAAAAAGGACTAAAGTGATCTTAACAGACAAATGTATCAGGTAAAAGGAGGCATCACTTTCAACAAGATATGACTTAAAGGTATAAGGGAGGATGTTCTTTTTCCGGGTGGATCATCAAAATCAGTGGTCCTCCTAATTGTCAATCATTCTGGTGATAAGTTTACATAAGGCCGTCCTACGTGCTCCTCCCCATTTTCATTTATCTGACATAGTGAAGAAATTGCAAATCTTCTTTTGGAAAGTAAGCTTGTATGAGCAATGCAAACAGCAACTTGTGCATGAGGAGAAATGGGCTCGTGCACGCTATTGCACGCGTTTAATAGGCATTCCCTCTCAGGACCGTATACAGGGTTGTGCTTTTTTTTTTTTTTTATTGGAGAGGGTGGGTCTTATCAAAACAATTGTGAAAAAATCCTCCACTATACCTTTAATTACAAAATAAAATGATAAAAGAAGTTTTAAATGGACTTGCTAATTTGGGAACCACACAGTACTTATAACCTTTGGGGTCAACTTGAGAGGGGTATGGACAAGAGATGGTTAAAATAACAGGTTGACTAGACAAATATAAGTAAACCAAGAGAGAGTTTTAGTGTTCAAATTCATTAAAACTTTGACAGAATAGAGAATCTGTATTTTTCTTTTTTCTTCTTGTTGAAATGTATAGGGTATGTGTTATATTCAAGGTTTCTTATTTTTAAGTTACAAAAATCTGGCATACATTCAGGTGTGTGGAGTTTCTTTTCATACATTTTAAAAGGTTGATCAAATTACAGGCTATCAGTTGATGTCAAAACTTTATGATTACTGATCTGTGGGAGACTTACTGGTGCACTTATTGCAATGATGCAGGTGTAATCATGTTTTAGCAGAACATGACAGAGTTACTCTGAAACAGTATTGTTTTAATAAAAGCTTATCATAATGTGAGACTCTCATTGGTTCAGGTTTAAAAGTTGTTTCTTTTTTTAAGAATCCTTACTATATATTAAGCTTCTGGCCCCTAAGGGTCCCCCTGTCAGGATAAAAGGCCAGTGACTTGCTGATGGTCCTGAGCTGCTGCTTCCTCTCCTGAAGTTCTTTGTTGTGCTCAAAGTCGGTGGAAGCTGACAGAGGGAGTCCATCCCTGACCCGCACCACAAACGCAAACAGGATCAGAGACATGATAGCCTGGGTCTGTGGAAGATATGCAGCCTGCAGAAAGTAAAAGAAGATTATTATATTATATAATATTATATATTATATTTCAAAACACTTTTTAAAGTTTGGTGGTCGTTCTGTTAAAGATTAAATAAAGATTATTACACTATATTACAAAATATCAACAAATCTCTGAAAAAAATGGAATTTGATTGGTAACTAGAACATATTAATGTGACGTATTTAGGGCAGTAATGCTTTCTAATGACGTGTTTAACGAAATAATGATAAATTATTAGATTTGATGGTTAATTATATGTTTACAGCATATGAAACTCTGATTTATTCTTTAAAAAATGACAACTTATTAATGTGAATTATTTTAAAACTGTAAGTTGCACCTTACCTCATTGTTGTGGACTTCATACTGCACCTTGTCACAATGCTACTGGGAGCTAGCTAACTATAACATCATACAAAGCAAACACATTTGCTCACTAAAAAGCCAAGCTCGGATAAACAAGCTCTGAGGATAATTCCTGATTAATATCGACTAACGTCAAGAACCTATTACTTAAGCAATCAGGACAGTGATTGGAATTGTCCAGAGAGCTAATCTGGTTGCTGTTTATGGATAGCCACAACAAATCTTTTACGGCATCTCAGGATGGACAAACCTCATGAAGACGGCACCTATTCTTAAAAAAAAAAGAAGGAAGTTAGCACAAGCTAACGGTCTACTGTCAGTGACTAGCGCTATTTACCCGGCTAGCTACTGTGCGTAGGTAAGTTGCATTAATTACAATTTACTTTAAAACATATATTGACACTTGAAATCACTCCCTCGTCTTCATTTTTAACAATTTAAATAATTACTTCATGCAAATTGCGTTACTGCTTGGGAACACGTTAACGGAGCTAACTTATAGCTAGCTAGCTAAGGGCAGCTAGCGCGACCAATTTAATATCGGCCGTGTTTTCAGGTTTACGAAGTGAACGATCTTTAGACGTTTCTAAATTAACCCAAACATATATATTTGTTTATTATATTCAGGTTATGAACTAGAATAGTAATAAATGAGGTCAATCATTTTCAATAGCAGTTAGTACACTTTAGAACGAGAACTCGTGGAATGTGAAGCTATTGGAGACGGATTAAGCAGCTGCAGTTAATCTTGAAATGTTTAAATGAGTTGTTTTCGGTATTGGCAGTGACTCTCACAGTTAACACATCAAATTAGTAACATAATACACGTTGTGCGACTGACAGATTGTAATTCTGCTTTAGGTGTCCCCAATGTAACCTACTGGAGAACGCGTTATTTTTATCACTTTCATTTGATCTCTTCAATTCAATTCAGTTTATTTATATAGCGACAATTCACAACACATGACATCTCAAGACACTTTACAGTTCACCAGATCATACAGTCAAATTGATATAAAGTTTTCTATCTAAGGAAAACCAGTTTATTGCATCACTGGGATGTAATCCCTCACACTAAGCATGCTTGTAGTGACAGTGGAGAGGAAAAACTCCCTTTTAACAACAAGAAACCTCCAGCAGAACCAGGCTTAGTGTCAGATCTGCTAGACCTCTTTGAATATTTACATAGAGGCGTAAATGTGTGTGCACTATTTCTATTTAATAACTTTCAAATTGCTTCGAAATCTTCTAAAAAGGGGCCTCACTTTTTAATATTTTTTTTGTAGTAAAAATAATGTTTTGATTTATGAGATTTCCTGGGTTTCCCTTCAAATGTCTTGGGCACCATTTTCACACTTAGTTAAAAATGAATACAGAATCTTAATTAATTAAAACCGTTTTTCTTCTAGGACTGACTACATACCAGTACAAATGTAAAAACGTGTCCAATTAAACCGTGCTAGTTTTCAAAGATTTCTTTTAAGTTTGGTACTGTTATACTTGGATTCAACTCCAGGCTGTTTGCTTCATGTCCAATGCATAGCCCATGTTATTCACATTTTCATTGTTGTTTAATCCTCACCTATGTTGATTAAGTAACCATGGTTAAACAATTTTACAATTTTTGTTCTATCCATTATGCTGTATGCTACAATCTATTTACATTTACTTTGATATTACAAGTTATCAACCCTGATCAATTCAAATTAACTATTTTTCATTGTAATCATATAACCACATTTCCTAATTATACATTATGTATAAGAAAGAAATTATTCAAAGCATAGATTGTCAAAACAGTTATGAAGTAAAAAAAAACTAAGGAATCTGTTTTATAGCTAACAATTTAAATGCAAAAACAAACGAAACCTCAATGACTCAAAATACCACAAGGATAAGCTGACCATATACTAATAGATCACCAAGTGAAGCATGTATTTTTGCAGTCCTGGTTTGCTCTTTGTCCTTGCTTCCTGAACCTCAAATTGAGTTTGCAGTTAGTCTTTTATGGGGGTTGCATTCCCTTTGATACGGACCAACAGGAACAGATACTCATTTAGCAACCAGCAAAATTCTAAAAAAAACTAAACTCAAATCTGTTTAAGATATTTAAACTATGCTTGAACTGCATGTTTCTACTTTTGAAGATAACAAATAGGTTACCTAATTTTAAGACTGTAAATCAGCTAGATGGTGGCGCATTCTATATATATATATATATATATATATATATATATATATATATATATTTTTTTTTTTTTTTGTCAGGACTATGAATATTCTTTCCCCTCCCACTAATCTCTCCTCATCCGTAGATTTCCTCCAATAGTTTAATCTCTTGCCCTCTTGCCCCACCCTCTTCATGTCATTCCTTTTAAACCTTGAGGATTTGGAATGAGGAGTTAACCTGACTTGCTTATTAAAAGGTTTGTTGTACCTTTCCTGCATTTTTAGGTCACCCGCACTTTGATCATTATGTGGGTTAAAGACCGCCCTCAGTGTTACTTTGATGTGGAACTCAACCGGGAGCCAGGTAAGCATATAAAGATAAAACTAATAAACAGCTTTCTTTTGAGCCTTCAACAAATAACTCGCAATGTAAAGATTAACTGTGATATTTCCGTAAATGTACAAAATGAAAGTGCAACAATCAGAAGTTCACAAGCCTGAAATACTGGTTTGGTGCTCAGTACTGAATGGCTGTTCTAAATACTTGTCCTGCTGTTGTAATTCTTTTTTATTTTATTTTGCGAGGGCAAGCTTTCTTTAAAAAAAGGGCAAAAAATAAAGAAATAAACAAATAAAACAAAGCATAGCCTGATTTAAAACATTATTGCATATTTGAGCCTGAATAAAAAGTATTATATCCTCCTAAAAGCACTGCTTTTGTGTAGCTCTGATCCATTGTCTTTAGAGTATGGGCTCTCAAAGACTGAAAGCACTAATATGCATCAAAATGATTACTTTTATTAGTTTAGAAATTTTTTTATATACTTAATTGCCCAATTCATACCACTGGACACACTCTGCCTTTAAAAATTTGACTCAATAATATTTATTCAAAAAATATGATTTCTTTAATTAATCTGTCAGAAAACAGCAGCTTTTCACATGTGTAAAAAGAGCTAACTTTGGTGCTTCTTTGTAGAGGTGAAGGAACTGTATGCACAGACGGACATGTAGAGACTAGCTAAGTTAAGTTAGCTCTGTGCTAAATTAGTCTTTGCAGTTAATTTTCTTCCATGCTAATTTTTCATTGTGTCAAACACTATATCAGTGTTCCTAGTAGAGGTGTCAAAACTATTCATATTTATTACTCAAGTAGAAATATTAACTTAAGCTTTTTACTCAAGTAAAAGTGTAAAAGTACCATTTCTTTAAAGTACTTATAGTATAAAAGTAATGCAGGAAAACAATCTTTAGGACAGATGCTTTAAACTATATGCTGGATATTTTACCACCCTATTAAAGGGTGCAGTTACAATTGTGAATGATACCTTCTTTATACTTGACTTTCTTAGTTTTATAACTAATGGTAACAGTGGCAGATTTAACTTTGCATCGTCTTGAAGAACTATTGATTTTGGTATGCTCACAAAACTAATGAGTCTATTTTTAAAATGTAAGGAGTAGAAGTAGAGATAAGTCCAAAAAATGTAAGGAATAGAAGTAAAAAGTTGTCTAAAAAATAATTACTCCAAGTAAAGTATAGATAACCAATTGTTTCCACTTAAGTAAGGTAACAAAGTATTAGTACTTTGTTACTTGACACCTCTGGGTGCTAGCGGGTATTGAAAGCTTTCTATAATGCCAGGTAATAATGCAGGAGCCCTGCTGGAGTTCCTACTTGTACCTTCAAATGTTTTTTTTTATGTGTGTGTTCTTATTTTAAATTTTGAAATGCCTTATTAAATGCTGTAATAATTCTCTCTCTTTTCTGTATTTTCCATAGTTGGACGCATCGTCTTTCAGCTTTTCTCTGACGTTTGTCCCAAGACAAGCAAAAACTTTCTTTGCTTGTGCACTGGTGAGTTATCTTCACTTAGTAGTGTGATCCACTGCATTCTGTGATTCTAGACAACATGTAGTGTGATTTGATTTCAAGTCATTTATTGAACTAGATCTAAGCTGTAGCTCTGTTTTCTGACCAAATCAGCGATTCAAATTTTCTCCACACCTTACAACTTGATGTGATATTAATTAGTTTGCTCATGAATTTCTGTTTGAGCTTACCTCAAAATGCCTGCAGTACTATTGTGACTTTCTCAAAGTCTTTAATATATTCTTTAAGACCAGGACCTTTAACCTCAGAATAATGCAATTAACAATCAGATGCTACTATTTAGTGAAGAACTTTCTAACAGACATATCTCTCTTGGATGCAGCCAAATGAAAAGCTAGATGATGCTGGTTTTAAGCCAACATGTTGACTTTTTATAATGTCTAAACACTAAAATCTAGTTCTTTAAAATCCAGTAACTCAGACCTTCTCTCTTTGAGCGTTACATGAGGTTTGCTACACAGAAGCACCTTCTAGAATTGCAGGTCTTATTGAGGCCCCGTCCACACGAAGTCAAAACGAACACGAAACGCTGAT